AGTCATCCACCTTTTCCCGGGACTGCGCAGCCCTCACGCATTCCAGACCGGGCCTGTGGGTCAGGCAGGGAGGGGCTTTGAACACGCCGGTGGCAGCTGCGGGAGGAGCTGTGCCTCTGCGGCGGCTCTGTCCATTCCACGTTCTTTCCTCGTTTCCTCTCGTTCTTTAGGATGGTGTTTAGTTGGCTGTAGGCGATCAGCCAGGTGATGTTGGATGGGGAAAGGGCCAACCTCACTAGGAAGGAAATGATGGCATTCGTTTTGGAAATGGCCTTCAGGGTGGTGTGGAGTGCTCTACAAGCCACGAGGTAGACTGGCGGCTTCTCAGAGCAGCAGTGGAGCGAGAGGGAGAGGCAGGAGGAGTGAGCCGTCCGGAGGCTGACGCCGCGGGGTGAGAAGGGCTCATGAGGAGGACGGAGCTCTGGTTTGCACAGCTGCCATGAGTAAAATCGCTCCTGTCCTGTTTCTGCTCTGGCCAGCAGTTTTCCTGTAGCGGAGGTTGCGTGATTTAGCCACGGTAATACTGCCTCTCGCTTCCCGCTTATAAAAATCACCGTTGTCTGTGCTCTTTCTTTCTGTTTCAGTCTGATGGCGGAGGGGCCTTTAAAGGCTTTAAAGGGCTGGTGGCGCCTTCTGCAGGAGGAGGGTTTTCTGGGTTCGGTGCTTGTGTTGGAGGGAAGCCTTTGGAAGGACTGTCCAATGGAAACAGCATGACCGGTGCCCCCCTCTTCTCTGGTGCGAGAGCTGCCACCGAGACCAAGGTGGCCTTTGGTGAGTAGGTCCCCCCTCACTCACTCACATCTGTGTAAAGATGACCATGAACATCACTTCACAGAGATGTTTTCCTTGTACTTACTCTGGTCCTGGAACTACATGAGCAAGAACAGTCGTAATGAAACACACAGAAATGAGGGGAATGTTGGCTATTTGCGTTCTGAGTAGAGAATGAGCTTTTGAGCCAAAATATAACTAGGTTCTGTTCTCAACTCTGCCAGTTATCAGCTCTTTGCCCTTCGTGAAGGAGCCTCCAGATGTTTAACTGAAATGAGAATGAGTGATGAGAATTGACCTAAGGGTCAGAGGAGGAGAGGAAGCTCTGAGTGGGCCTCTGTAAAGGCCTGTCTCCACATCCCACCTTCGTTAATACGTGTACCAAAGACTGTGTGTCATCCCCGCTAGATTTAGGATGTGTTGGTTGCCTGATCTTGTTTTGAGGGAATTAGTTAAGACCTCGGGATTAGCAGTAGAGAATAAGATCATGGATTAAAATCTTGAGTTCTTGGAAAAGAGCCCCACTCGTTGGATTGTTTTAGCTAGTTATTCTAAAAGTTTCCGGTTTTTTTTTTAAACATTTTTTTTTTTAAAGCACACTTATTTTTTTATACTTTATTGATTTTTTACAGAGAGGAAGGGAGAGAGACAGAGAGCCAGAAACATCGATGAGAGAGAAACACCGATCAGCTGCCTCCTGCACATCCCCCACTGGGAATGTGCCCGCAACCAAGGCACATGCCCCTGACCGGAATCGAACCCGGGACTCCTCAGGCCGACGCTCCATCCACTGAGCCAAACCCGTTTCGGCTAAAAGTTTCCGTTTTAATGAGGCAGAATGTTTAGTGTGATTAAAATAAAATGAACTTTCTGTTAAGATTTTAACTGCATTAATGATGTTCATTCCTACAGCCTTGGGGATTAAGTTTTGTACTCAGAGTATTTTGACGGTTCTGGGTAAAATGGGCATCTTTTTGAAGGAAAAGATTATTTTAAAATTACTGATGTGAGCATATAATAGATACTGTTCCTGTGTAGAGTTTGATTTGATTTTTGTGGTAACCAGATCCTAAATGTTAGATGTGCACATACTTGAACTGTCACAAAAATGGGATGCAATAAAGGCAGAACATACGAAGAGCAATACAGAAATCTAGATGATTTAGTCAAATCACCTTCTAAATAAATCTTAAAGCTTGACTTTCCCTTAGGATCTGTTGCTGCAAATGGCCCCGCCTCCTTGGTTGATAATAAGATTTCAAACCCCAAAAGGAATGGTGACAGTCAGTCCTCTGGTCTTTCCTCGAGCACCACTCACCAGGGGAACGCCTACCACAAGCAGCTGGCGGCCTTGAACTGCTGCGTGCGGGACTGGATCGTGAAGCATGTGAACGCGAACCCGCTGTGCGACCTGACGCCGGTCTTTAAGGACTATGAGAGCTACTTAGCGGGCATCGAGCAACAGCTCGGTGACAGCGGGAGCAACGGCAGCAGCGGCTCTGAAAGGAAACCTAGCAAAATGTCCCTCGACTCACAGCCTCCCTCCCTGTTTGGTTCAACAAAGTCACAGCAAGAGTCCACATTTTTGTTTCATGGGGATAAAACTGCGGGCACCTCTGAAAAGAAGACAGAGGCTGTGCCTGAAAAGAAGGGGGACCCATCACTAGGAGCGACAAGTGCCTCGTTTAATTTCGGCAAGAAAATTGATGGTTCTGTTTTGGGCTCCTTAAACTCTGGCCCCCTGGCTGGGTTTTCATTTCCTTCTGGAAACTCCAGTTTATTTGGCAAAGACCTCACCCAGAGTAAGCCCGCTCCTTCACCGTTCTCCGTTCCAGCAGCGGAGGGCCAGGCCGGGGGCGGCAGTGCCGGCTGCACAGGTGAGTGGGATGTTCATCCTTCAGTCCGGTTGTGGTCTGTGGAGGTTTGTGCTGAGTGGAAGCAGCAGAGACGGCCGCCATCATTTCCGAGCCGCGTGATCCAGGACAGGCTGGCGGGCCTCTGAGCCTCCGCGTCCTTATTTGCAAAATGGAGTAAAGTCTGTGTTGTCGGTGAGAGACCCTCCCTTCCCCCAGCTGGTGGGCTGAGTGTGACGGAACCTGCAGCCGGGAAATACCTGATATGGCCTATACACTGAGCCACCAGTCCACACCTGCCCGATACCCTAAGCCAGCAGTTCTCAACCAATGGGCCGAGACCCCTTCGGGGGTCGAATGACCCTTTCACAGGGGTCGCCCATCAGAAAACACACATATAATTACATACTGTTTTTGTGATTAATCACTATGCTTTAATTACGTTCGATTTGTCACAATGAAAATACATCCTGCATATCAGATATTTACATGACGATTCATAACAGTAGCGACATTACAATTATGAAGTAGCAACGAAGATAATTTTATGGTTGGGTCACAACATGAGGAACTGTATTAAAGGGTCGCGGCATTAGGAAGGTTGAGAACCACTGCCCTAAGCCCTTGTTCCTATAGGACTATACATTAAGCCACCAATCAGCGTGCGCTGCCTACCCTAAGCCCCCATTCCTTCCCATCCTCCCCTCAAAAGGCGCGCTCACCTCTGCACGGGTTGCTGTTCTCCCCTTGCTAGACAGCCTGGCAGGTCTTTTTCCCTTAATAAAGCCTGTAAGCCTGGTCTTCCTGGTTTTTGGCTCCTGACTGGTCTCTCAGTAGGGTTATTGTGAGGATTAAGGATATAAAGATTAAGAATGTGAGATTTTCTGGCACAGTGATTTTGAAAAGTATCGAATACATGGCTTGTATGTAAAGAATTAAGTGAGTTAACGTTTGAAAAATTGTATTTTATTGAGAGTTTATCATGAATGTCCACTGAATTGTTTGTATTTAGGAGATTTGGTTGTAAGTAAAGTCACATAGCAAAGCAGGGCTGTAAATTTAACAGGGAGACTTCATAAGTCGGGGGAACAAATGAGCGAAGTCTCTCCATGACATGTCTGGGTTGCACCGCCTTCCAGGACTTCTGTGTGGTGTCTTCCCCTTTTTGTCCACAGTCCATTGTTTGAGCACCAGAACTGTTTCTCTTAGAGCCGCTTTTTAAGTTGCTTTTTAGTTTAGGGAGTTTTATGGGAATGCCTTTCTCTTTAAGAGAATGGGCATTTGCCTCTGTTGCCCTGTCTTTGATCTCCCCTGTGT